AAAAAAAAAAAAAAAAAAAAAAAATTCCCCAGCCATCTCCTGCTGTGTAAATTTTCCTATGTTGCTAGTGTTGTAGGCGTCGATACTAAGTGGTTTTAAATGCGGTTAAATTCAAGTTACTTTTTCCTTGGTTGACTTTGGAGAACTCCAGAGTTGTAGATTCCCCAATTTTTTTGGTGAAATACTGTCCTCGATAAAGTGAGCCTACACTCATAAGTGAATGATTGCTGAATTCTATCAAAAACTTTTACACATCTTTTGATACGATGTATGTATGTATATGGGTGATAATTTGCAAATTAAATACATGAACAAAAATAGAAATGTTAAAAGAATATTTAAATATAAACAGAAACTCAGATATTGTCTGCAGCAGGCAGCCCACTGTGGCTCTGTGTAACGACCAGAGCTGTTCATTATTCATACAGTTTCCTAGCCAGGAGAGAGGCCTTTTCTCTGGGCAGGTTGTTTATTGTTAGAATGTAAGCCCAATACAACAGGGATTTTTGTGTTTTCTTTAGTACTTTATCCCGAGGGTCAAAACGTCTTGGCACATACCAATAAATATTTCATCAACATAAATGTTTGTGAATATTTCCTTAATCTTTTTGCAGCAAACACCATCTGTAAGATTCAAGTCAAACAAATTGAGAACTTGAAATGTGTCTCCATTCTTTTTCCTTACTACTTGTTCATTCACTTACAGTAAAGCACTTACTATATGCTTTTTATTTTATTTTGTTCGACTCCTCCTTTGTGCCAACCTCACTCTATTGTCTCACACATACACACCATTCACACACTTATGAGCTCCTTAACGGCAATGGTTATGGCTTTGTCATCTGTACTCTAGTGCCAGTAAAGTGAATGGCATTTAGTGAATGCTCAGCATGACTGTTTACTGATTAAATAGATTGTTGCATTACTTATGGAGGTAAATCAAAGACCCACTCCAAACGACACAACTGGTCAGTTAAATACTGATAAATGTTCATTTATTGCTCATTGTGTGTAGATAAGAATATAACTGGTAAGTTATGGTACCTGCTTTGGCTCTAAAGAATGTATTGCTTCCTGCACATTTAGATTCTGAGTTCTAAGAGTATTATGTTTTATGACCAATTGTGTGGGCTTCAAGGTCAATTTAATGTCAGAAGACAGGTTAATGTACTTGATATAATTAACAATATTAAGAGTTAAAGGAGAAAAATCATCAAAAGATGTATGAAAAGTTTTTGATAGAATTCAGCAATCTTTCACTTATAAGAACTTGTAGACGCTAGAAATAGAAGGGAATTTTTTTAACCTGATAGAGTATCTGAAGTCCCACACCTAATAGTGAAACTCAGAAAGCATTCTGTATTAGGTTAAGTACAAGACAGAGGTGATTGCTACTGCCTCTTCAATATAGCATCACACTAGATGTTCAAGTAATGTTAAAATGCATAAATGTTCTAAAGAAAGTTGTAAATCTGTGATTAGAAATTGTTTTAGAGGTTATAAAGAAAAGAGGCAAGATGTGGTGGCTCATGCCTGTAATTCCAGCTCCCAGCACTTTGGGAGTCTGAGACAGAAGGATCACTTGAGCCCAGGAGTTCAAGACCAGCCTGGGCAACAAAGTGAGACCCAGGATCTACAAAAAACAAAAATAAAAAAATAACTGGGCATGGTGGTACGTGCCTGTGATCCTAGCTGCACAGGACACTGAGGCAGGAGGAACTCTTGAGCCCAGGAGTCCAAGGCTGCAATATGCCCAGTTTCCGCCACTGCACTTCAGCCTGGACAATCGAATAAGACCCTGTCTCAAAAGAAAAAAAAAAAACTAATACAAATTATTAGAATTAATGAGAGAATTTAGAAAGCTACTAGAGTTTTTTTTTTTTTTTTTTTAAAAAGAAACGTGGTCTCACTATGTTACCTAGGCTGGAATGCAATGGCTAGGTTACTGGGGTTTTTTGTTTTGTTTTGTTTTGTTTTGTTTTGAGACGGAGTTTCACTCATGTTACCCAGGTTGGAGTGCAATGGCGCGATCTCCGCTCACCGCAACCTCCGCGTCCTGGGTTCAGGCAATTCTCCTGCCTCAGCCTCCTGAGTAACTGGGATTACAGGCATGCGCCACCATGCCCAGCTGAGTTTTTATATTTTTAGTAGAGACGGGGTTTCACCATATTGACCAGGATGGGCTCGATCTCTTGACCTCGTGATCCACCCGCCTCGGCCTCCCAAAGTACTGGGATTACAGGCGTGAGCCACCGCGCCCGGCCTACTGGGTTTTTAAGTGTAATGAAGAAGCCACATTTCTATACATTAGCAACAACAGAGAATGTAATTTTAAAATATTCCATATTAAATAGCTTCAAGCGTTATAAAGTACATAGGAGTAAAAAAAAAAAGTGTACTTCCTAGCAGAAAAAAAAAAAAGGCACACTGAAATGTAGACGTTGAGGGCAATGTAGTGAAGGGATCGGTAACAGAAGTGTTGCCAGGATCAAAAGTAACTAACAACAAATGGTGAAGAACCCCAAGGAGAAAATGGAACACTAACCATGGATCTGAATGCAAAACTGAAAGGGAGCAGTTATCTGAACCTGATTTCATCGAGAAAGGTATGGCTGCAGGAGAAGGCTACTGGGCGAGAGCTGGAATAATCAGTAGAGGAACACAACAGCTGCCAACTGTCATCAGCCCATCAGCCCAAGAAGTGGAGAAATGAATATCTCCTTTTAGATCTCCTGCCCATGCTTCCCATTGGTTTAACTCAGCCAGAGCCCAGAAGACAGGGGAGCCCTCCAATGGGGCCCGTAAATGTCAGCCTCTAGGATTTAAACCACGGTACAAAAGAGAGAAAAGGGGATCTCGTTAAATAAAGGATTACCCAACATGATGTTCAATATTATTTAATGCATTTCAGCAAAATGTGTTATTCCCTATGAAGGGCATTAAATAATATTAAAATAAATGGAAAATGGATATATTGTGTTCGTGGGTTGGGAGATTCAATTTTGGGAAAATGTCAGTGTTCCCGTTACAGGCCGAATCGGGTTCCCCTCCTCCAAATTCCTGTGTTAAAGTCCTAACCCTCACTATCTCAAAATGTGACTGTATTTGGATAAATAAGGTAAAATTATGTCATATGTGGTGGGCCCTAATCCAATGCAACAGTTGTCTTTATGAAAAGAGGAGATGAGGACACAGACAACACAAACCAAGAAATGACCGGATGAGGACAGAGTGAGAAGGTGGCCATCTGCCAGTCAACGGGAGAGGCCTCAGAAGAAAGTAAACTTACGGACACCTTAATCTTGGACTTCTAACATCTAGAACTCTGAGAAAATAAATTTCTGTTGTTTAAGCCGCCAAGATCTGTTACAGCAGACCTAGAAAGCAAATACATCTCCAAACTGATTTAAAGATTCAATACAACTGCAAACAAAAGTTCCAATTTGGGGGTGTGGACAATGACCTTTTAAAAATTATTATTATTTTAATTTTTCCAAAAGTTATTGAGGTACAGGTGGTATTTGGTTACATGAGTAAGTTCTTTAGTGGCAATTTGTGAGATTTTGGTGCACATCACTTGAGCAGTATGTACCGCACATTTGTAGTCTTTTAATCCCTTGCCCCCTCCCACTTTTCCCCCCAAGTCTCCAAAATCCATTGTATCATTTTTATGCTTTTGTGTCCTCATAGCTTAGCTCCCACATATTGCTGAGAACATAC